GGGGTGCGGGCTCCTGTAGGTGAGAGGCCCAGGAGACCCAGGCACCGATTCTTAAATAGTTTCTCTACCTGATGGGACTGGAGGGACTAAGAGCTCCTTCTCCCCTCCTCCTGCCCAAGCAGCCCCACAGCCCCCCTCTCCAGGCCTATCCCCACTTGGCACAGCTTGCAGGGTACCAAACTAGGATGAGTTTCCCAAGTGGAGATAGGCCCGGGTGCCCTGCGCCCTGAGGAGGCCTCCCTGAGTTTCGTCTGCACCCTTGCGCCCCCCTTGTGCTCTCGGATGGCCGCTGGATCTTCCAGTCAAGTAGTGAGCCAGCCAGCTCCTTAGTTAGGCCAAAGAATGGTCCTCGTGAGGTCAAGGCCACAGTTTTATACTCTCAAGATCCGCTTCAGGCAAAACTGTTCCTACTTGCAGCATGTACTTATTTGGGTATCAGCTATGTGTTTAGCCCCCAAGGTCATTCATCCCACCCGCTGTGTGTGTAAGGTAGGTGCTAACAAAAAGTGAACGCATTGCTTATGGTTGGGGACAGTACACAATACATTACTGTACTGGGTAGAGACTGAAGGGGGTAGGGTGGGGCACTGAGAATTGTAGCTGGTCAGGGAAGGTTCCTGGAGCAGGCGACACCTGAGTGGCTCCTTGAAGCAGAGGACATTTGGACATTCAGGGTGAGGGCTGTGCAGGCCAGAGAAACAAGGTCTTGTGACCAGTTCCATTTTCTTATTCTCACGATTTCACATTTGCCGATGGAGATGTGTTTATGTGTGCGTATTTCGAGTAGACTGGGCAGAGAGGACAGTTGCAGAGGCTTTCTGGGAGACCTCCACTAACAACTGTTTCCTTCCGTTACTCCTTCCCCCCTTTGCCTCCAATGAATGAATCAGAAGATGGTAAAGAATATTCTCTGATTATACACTTCGTGGGGATGCAGTTGGAAGTAGTCCCCCACCCCCAATATAGTCTTTGTGAACCTAGTATAGTGCACTCATTGTTGACCCTGAAAGCTTAGTTCTAAATTATTTTCCACAAAAGAAAGCTATCGACTGATTCCCTAAACCCAGCAAATGGTCTCAGAGGTGCCCCGAGTAACATGGAAACTGAGGGCTCGGTGCAAGTCCTGTGAAATTTGTCAACACAAATTCCAAACTCCCACCATTACACCAGAGCTTCCCAAGGATAAGTTTAAGTTACAGCATTAGCTT